CATTATTGTTCTTGGGTTCAGTGGCGGCACTAGGGTGGGTGTCACCCAGTGCGGCCACTGCGCACGTGTTATGACATCTGTGATGTGATGTCACATGTACTTCACTGCCGGTGGCCATCTTGGTGATGGACGCCAGCAAAGAGAGGAGGGGATATTGAGCCAGCAGGATCAGGTATCCCGCCGGGTCCCCACCTCTCTCTCCTGCTGCTGTGGGGCTCTCAGGCCATGACCAAGTCCCTGAATTTTAAGGGCTAGTTCACACCAAGCGCGTTCCAGATGCAGAGCAGTTACAGAACGGATCAAAACTGCATCCAATGTATTCCAATGGTATTTTGGGCTCTAGTTCACACCGCAGAGTTCCGTTCCAGAGCATGTAAAAAAACTGCAGCAAGCCCTATTTTCCCTGCTCTGGAATGCATGCAAACGCATCACAAACGCATGCAAACACCCTGGAACGCACTGAAAGCCCATTTTAGGTTACAACAATATATATATATTTTTTTTTTTTACAAAAACACGTCAAAACGCAGCAAAAAACATGGGAAAAACACACTGCACTGGGTGTGCAGAAACTCATGCAGATCTGGTCCGCATTTGGGGTGAACAAGCCCTAAGAGGGGGCTGACACCAAAATGACTGTTAGGTAATTTGGTGTCACCCAATCTGATTATGTCATTCGTTGCCGGCCGCAGGCGTGAGGAGGACCACCCTTGTGACGCCACGGCTTGGGTGTGAATATACTTTTTAACCATTGACATTGTTCATCATGAGAAAGCAAAGTCTTTTACCAGCCCCATGAGAACAAATCCAAAGCAGCACCACAATTACATTACAACAGTAATCAGTAATATTAAAGGAGAACTATGGGGTCAGTGCTTTTCCCCATAGTTCTCCCCAGGGTCACGTGAGGACACAAACTAGCGTCCTCCCGTGACCCAAAGCTCAGTATACCGCGAGCTACAGCCGCAGCCGGGACGCATCCCGACATTACTGTCGAGATCCACCCAGCTGCGTGATTGACAGCTGGCTCTGCCTATCTAGAGGCAGAGCCAGCTGTACCCGCCCCCTCTCCCGTCCGTTCCGCCAGTCAGCGCCGGAGGATCGGACAGGGGAGGGGGGAATCCCTGCAGGGAGTCGTGAGTGACAGTCACGGCTCTCTGCAGGGAGATGATCGAGAAGTGAGCGAGTGACGGTATGCGTTCGCTCACTTATCGATTCATTGAGCCGACGTGTGACAGTTTCATTGTCACACGTCGGCTCGAACTATGAAGCTGAGTGATTTTCACTCACCTCATAGTTCTCCTTTAAATCATGGGGTCCCCATTAAACATTACTGCCTCTTTTATAGGGCCCCAAAATGCTGCTTGAGACAGAAAGTTCACCATGCCCTGTTTAAACACTAGAACTAATTTTGCTGCTCATTAAAAAAAAAAAACATTTGAATGGTTTTATGTATCAGCTACTCCTTCCTGATCACATTTTACATCCTGGAAGCCTTTAGTGTAGCGGAGAGGCCGCAATGATTTGCAAAACAACTGATTCTGAGATGAAATGCCATAGATCACAGCCAGGACACTGCAGCTAGGCTCACACTATTGTTCCTGCAGAAAAACAAAATGCACTGTGCACATTGTCCTCCAGAGGGCGCAGCAATGCATATCCTGAATGGGCATTAGAGCGCTGTTTACTAGCAGAACAGTACAACCATTGAACTATGGAACAGAATTCCTTCTCCGCAAACTATTACCAATCTAAGACATGAGACGCATTTTTCCCCTGAAACAGATTAAATGCAAAATTAGTTCTAGATTGTAAGCTCTTAGGAGCAGAACCTTCCTAACTGTCTTGTATTGAATTGTATTGTAACTGCAGTGTGTTCCCTTTAATTTGTAAAGCTGTATAAATCACAAATAATAATAATAATAATAAAATAATAATATAAAATACCTACACATGAATCAAATACAGTAAAAAAATTTTTATTAGCATGCTTACCTAGCTTACAAACATCAGTAAGCAGGGTTTTTGTTATCTCTTGAAGGAGTGGGGAAATGATTGTGAATGAATCATTGGGTGCCTTTGAATGATCACCTTTTTAATTGCTGATCAAGAGTTGTGATCAGATCTAAATGAAATAATAAAAAAGTATGTTGCGTGCATGTCTGGTACTAGAGCACATCCCAGGACAGGGACACCATGAAGGGGCAAGATATGTCTCCAGGCTGAGCCACTGATTGGTTACTTACCTGTCATCCTTTGACAGCAATCAGGTGATCCTCTGCCATGGATTTGCACCAGTGCAGGAGGCTGAAAAGAATTTAGCAGCTTTGCATATTAGATTAGAGATCTGTTTATAAAAAACAATTGCATAGTGTATAAATCCATTGAAACTGCAAGTACATTCATTCTGTGTGAGTTGCCTCGCTGTTGTGAGACTGGGCAGAGCCGTCTTTAATAATAATTGGGCTCTGGGCAAGATTTTGCTAATGGGCCCCCACAACCCTTCCACCTCCATGATATATATATATATATATATATATATATAATGTATTTATTTCTTTTTTTTGCCGGTGGCTTGATGCACATTAAAAAATTGTAATTTGCTTAGTGCACACTAAAAAATTTGTTAGCAACTACACTTATTTAGCAGGGGCAGATGTGGAGTAATGCAGCAGGGGCAGATGTGGCAGATCAAAGCAGGGCAGATGTGGTGGATCTCAACAGGGGCAGAGGATCGCAGCAGGGGTGATGTGCCGGCCAGTGCTGTAAACAGGTGCCACTGAGGTTCCCCAGAAGGCTGCTGGGAGGTCCCCAGGAAGCGTGGGACCTTATGGCAGCCGAATCTATTCATTA